CAGCAGCTGGAGCAGCAGCAGCAGCTGGAGCAGCAGCAGCAGCTGGAACAACAGGAGGTTCACCTGGAGCTGACACCGGTGGAGCTAGACACCCAGCAGCAGGAGCTGCAGCTGCAGCTGACTTCTGTGCAGCCAGAGCTGCAACTGGAGCTGGTGCCCGCTCCTGTAGGTGCAGCACCGGCTCCAGCCACAGTCGTGGTGACCCCTCCAGGTTATGTGGTGCTGCAAGAGCTCATGGTGCTGCCTGCTGTGGCCACACCCACTGTGGTGGCCATCCCGGGCCCCGCGGGGAGTGCGGCTCTGACTCCTGCCAGACAGCGGAGGAAGCGGCGAGCCCGGGGCAGGCCTACCATCTGCGCGGAGTGTGGCAAGGGTTTCAGCCGCAGCACGGACCTGGTACGACACCAGGCCACGCACACTGGGGAGAGGCCGTATCTCTGCAGCGAGTGCGGAAAGAGCTTCTCCCAACATTCCAACCTGGTGACCCACCAGCGCATACACACGGGCGAGAAGCCCTACGCCTGCACCTACTGCTCCAAGCGCTTCAGCGAGAGCTCAGCGCTCGTACAGCATCAGCGTACCCACACGGGAGAGCGGCCCTACGTCTGTGGTGACTGCGGCAAGCGCTTCAGTGTCTCCTCTAACCTGCTGCGCCACCGCCGCACCCACTCAGATGTGTGTCCCTTCGTGTGCCAGGACTGCGGCGAGCGCTTCCGACACAAGGTGGAGATCCGCAGGCACGAGCGCCAGTTACATGGGGCAGGACGCTCCAGAGGCCTGGGCCTCCTGCGCTCCTCCAGACCTGTGCCCTCCACAAGGACCCAGCAGAACTCTGCATCTGGGAAGCACTGAGAGGTGTTGGCACCATCCACACACACCTCAACCCTAGTTCCTGGTCTTAACCCCAGTTTGAAGTTTTTCTGGATATCTTTAATTATCCTTGGGAAAGAAAAACTATCATCTTTTCCCAGACCCCTTCCCACCAAGCACCAAGTTCACAGATTCACCCTCTTTGTAAAACCATCTCCAGGTGGGTGAGAGAGACTGCCCAACTTTGTCTTTTCCTGGGAAAATAGGACTGAGAACTGGCTTGGTGGCAAACAATGTGTGAGGTTTGATACAACCAAACACTAACCAGCAAATGAAACGTGCAGTGTGTGAGAAAGTTTGGAATCAAATGGATCATTCTGAATACTCAAGGAGAAGCTGGAAAGGGGGGCGCCGAGGATGGCGTTCGGCCTACTAAATTGTCTGCCTAGCAGAGAGCCCTGGGTTTCATCTCCAGCACCATACAAACCTGGTATGGATGCATGTAATCCCAACACTTGGGAGGTGGAGGCAGGAGGCTGAGGTTTCGGGTCACTCTCAGGAACATAGTGAGTTGGAGGATAGCCTGGGTTACATGAGATCCTGCCTCTAAAAACAAAACAAATAAATAAACAACAACAACAAAAAAAAAAATGGTCTTCAGGTTGTCACAGTGCAGTGAACTTGGTCAAGGCACTGAGTTGTCATGGTATAAATCTTGAAAATATTTGTCAAGATGCAACATGGAAGGGTAGGTGTAGTTCTGGTGAAGATGCCTGGTCTGTTGCTCGTAGACATGGTCACAGTGGCAGTGCGGTCAGTGTGCAAATAAAAGCCAGAAGTCCTGCTCTGGTTGGAAGGTCAAACCTTCCTTCCCAGGGAGTTCAGACTACAGGCATTAGAAGCTGATTCGGGGCCTCTGTTGGAATGTTCCCAAGCCGTTTGTCTGTCTTTGCTGTTCCCTGATGTAAGAACCCATGTGGAAGCAGAGATTTCCAGTAAAGAACTTCCAGGTGGCCCCGACCTAGCTTAAGCCACCTAGATGCTGCCCAAGTGCTCAGCATCTTATGACCCGGGAACCACAGTCTCCAGGGCCATGTGATGGGGAAGGGTGGCCAGAGGAGCCCCTACCTCCTGGCTGGGAGTGTAGGGGAAATGTTAGGAACAAGGACTGGAGGTCTCAGGAAGGCTGTAAGCCATGCTTACCAAATCACTTAGGGCAGGGACTGTCGGAGCAGTATATGGTGTTGGAAGGTATGCAACGTGGAGGAGGTCCCCAGCCACTTCCTGCCCCTCCCAACCTCACTGCCCACCATGGCTGCTGGGTTCTTGCCCTTTCTCTGCCTTCCCTGCAACTCCTTCAGTAACACAGCCTGCCAAATTTTATACATATGTTGGCAAGTGAGAAACAGAACTTGGAAAATAAAGTGGGTAATACTGTGTCTATGATGTGAACTTTACATTTTATGCCTTGCCTGGAAACCTCTAATCGTGTTTATTTCTTTGAAACAGAGTCTCCCAGAGCCTGGGCAACTTCTCTTGTTTGTTTGAAACAGTCTTGTGCAGCCTCCAGGCTGGCCTCAAATTCACTATATAACAGAGGATAGTCTAAAACTAACTTCTGATTCTCCTGCCTCTGCCTCCTGAGTGCTGCCGTACAGGTGTGCACCAGTTTGCTCAGTATAAGCGGTGCCGGGGATCGAACCTGGGGCGTGGTTCGCATTGGGCCGACACTGAGCTGCATCTGCAGTCCCAAGTGAGAGTTTCAAAAAAAGAAAAGAAAAGAAAAATGTAGCCCAAGTCATCCTTGACCTAGCAATATTTCTCTTCCTCCAGCCAGCCTCTGGGTACTAAGATTACAGGCATGTACCACCTCACACAGGGATTAGAACAAACCCGTGTGTGTGCATCTGTTTGGGGGGAGGTGTGCATGTGGTACAGTGCACATAAGACAGCTTTATGGAGTCAATTCCCTCTTTCTGTCTTTATAGGGAAAGGATTGAATGCAGGAAGCCAAGCCTGTGCCGGCCCCAACCTCCTTACTTTTGAGACAGGAGCTCTCAACTGAACTTTTGAGTACATCCATTGGCTAGCCTGGCTGGCTAGTGAGCCCCCCTTGTCTCTGTACCCCTCCCCTCAGCTGTAACAGATGTGCTACCACACCTGTCTTCTGTGTGGGTGCTGGGGACCTGAACTGGGCTCCTCCTGCTTACACAAGCCCTATGTGGACTGAGCCATCCTCCTAGCTTAGAACAAATCTTTCCAAGGATGAAAATGTATGGGTGTAGGCTGGTGGTTCTCACCCTTCCTAATGCTGTGACCCTATAATATAGCTCATGTCATGGTGACCCCCCCTCAATTATAACATTTCCATTGCTACTTCCTAACTGTAATTTTCCTATTGTTATGGGTTGTAATGTAAATTCCCATTATGCAGGATATCTGATAGACAACCTCTGTAGGAAAAGTCATTCTACCCCACGGAAGGGTAGAGACCCACAGGTTGAGAACCTGTGATCTAGGACAACACTGCCTCTGAGCACATTTTAAGGTTTTTGTTGTTGTTGTTGTTGTTGTTGTTGTTTAGAGACAGGGTTTCTCTGTGTAGCTCGGGCTGTCCTGGACTTGCTTTGTAGACTAGGCTGGCCTCAAACCCACAGAGATCCACCTGCCTGCCTCTGCCTCCCTGAGTGCTGGGATTAAAGGCGTGCACCACCACACCCAGCTCTAAGATCTATTTTTATTTTTTAAAAACATATACTTACTTGTTTAATGGATACAAGTGCTTTATCTGCACATACATTTGCATGCCAGAAGAGGGCATCAGATCTCCTTATAAATGGTTGTAAGCCACCATATGGTTGCTGGGATTTGAACTCAGGACTTCTGGGAAAGCAGACAGTGCTCTTAACCACTGAGCCACCTGTCCAGCCCTATTTTTATTATCTTTAACTATATGTAGGTTTGTGTGTGTGTGTGTGTGTGTGTGTGTGTGTGCATGCGAGCGTATGGGTATGTGCAATGGATGCTGGTGGTGCCCAGAGAGGCCAGAAGTGCCAGGTCCCCCAGAGCTGGGGTATAGAGGACACGAGCTGCCCAAGGAGGATGCTGGGAACCAAACTCGAGTTTCCTGGAAGAGCAGCAAGTGTTCTTTACCACTAAGCCAGCTCTCCAGCTTCCCCTGAACAAATTTGAAGAGTGAGTCCCTCTTGGTGGCTCACCCTGCTGTAGGTCGCAGGGCTGCTAGGACGAGGGTAAGCTAGACCTCACTTTCCTCCAGCTCCTTGCGTCAACCAGGGCTGCCTAAGCCCTCCACCTGAGATCTGTGTGGTAGTGTGCCATGCCCTGTGTGCGGAGGTGAGAAGACAGGCTTCAGGGGTTGGTTCTCTCCTTCCGCCAACCACCTGGATCCCAGAAATCACACTCGGGTTGTCAGGCTTTACCACTGAGCAGTCCTACCAGCCCCTCCTTTTGGTTTTAGGCAAAAATGTTAGAATTGAGTGAGTCTTTAACTTGAGTGAACCGAGGCTACCCCCATTCATGTGCCTTTCTTTATCCATCACATATATCCTGATCCTGTTTTTTAGCCCTTGATGCTGGGAGCAGATGAGACCTGTCCAAGACACACTTGGGGGAAATAAAAGCCAAAGGCAGAGGTGCGGTGGGGGAGGGGGGATTTTCCAGGTTTGGCGGCATACACTCGTAATCCCAGCACTTGGGAAGCAGATGCAGAAGGAGAGTGAGTTCAAGGGCAGCCTGGGCTACATAGCAAGCTCTTGTCTCATAAAAGAGAGGGAGGAAGGCAGTCAGACATGGTAGTTCATGCCTGTAATTCCAGCACTTGGGATGCTGAAGGAGGATCCAGAGTTGGAGGCTAGCCTGGGCTACATAGTGACACTTTATATCAAAAAGAAAAAGACTATTTAAACACTGTAAGTAGAGAACTGGTGTCACCCAAGAGAAGCAGAAGGCAGCAGGAAAAAGAAACACAATGTTGCTTCTGAAGTACTGTTACATCATAGTGAGATTCAGAGACTTGGGAAAGCAGTGGACACATCACCCCCTTGCTCTTTGTTTAAAAGGCTTCCAGAGATGAGAAAATGTCATCCCACCCAACCCCTGCCTTCTGGGTGCTGTGGTCTGAGGTGAAACTTAAAGCTTTGTTGATGTTGGAGAAGGGTCTACCTCTAAGCCACATCCCCGCAGTCCCCATTGAGAGACTCCTGGCAGGAGGTCCGCCACTGAGCCACGCCCCAGCCCCTCACTGGGGGATTCTAGGCAAAGGCTCTACCACTGAGCCACACCCCAGTCCCTCACTGGGGGATTCTAGGCAGGGGCTCTACCACTGAGCCATGTGAGTTCTGGGAAGTAAGGACCCTATCATTGAGCCAGGAACCCCATCTTCTTCTTATTTTGAAACATGTTTTTGCCCAGGTTGGCCTGAAACTTTCTCTGTAGCCCAGGGAAGCCAAGGGCTCCTGGCTCAACCTCCTGAGGGCATGTACCATCACACCCAGCCCCCAACAGTTATTTTCCCCTTGCTTCTAAAAACAACAGCTGGTAGAGTGGCTGGCTGAAAATTAACAGAGTAGTACTTAAATTGTTCCGTGTTAAGGGAGGCCTAGTCCCTAGACCCCTATCTCAAGGAGACGTCTGCTCTGAGGACGATACCCTTGCTCTGCCTGTACTGTGGCTTAGTTGGGCTGTTCCGTTACTGCTGACCTCTAGCTTGACAGGTTGTCACACACTCACTAGAAGGGAATAATTTTATTTTATTTTTTAAATTTATGTGTGTGTCTGTGTGATGTGTTCATCATCACATGTGTGCAGGTGCCTACAGACGCCAGCAGAGGGCAGCAGAGGGCGTCAGACTCCCTGGATCTGTAATTACAGGTGGCTGTGAGCAGCCCAATTTGTGTGCAGGGTGGTTGGTGTGGGGGACCAGACTTCAGTCTGGAAGAACAGTAAGAGCAATCCTGCTGGCTGATTCTGAGGGGGAGGCTCTGGAAACTCTGTGTGTGTGTGTGTGTGTGTGTGTGTGTGTGTGTGTGTGTGTGTGTGTGTAGAGGTGAGAATGACTTCTCTGGAGGCAGCTTCATTGAGCAGCTCCTTTAACTGGGGGGAACAGAGGCTATTTCAGGCTTTGGGGGTGAGCGTACATCACTGGCTGCTGCTGAGGTTCTGGGAATGCCTCATTTGCATGAAGCAGAATTCCAGGTGTTTGCCGGACATGACTTTATAAGGACTTTATAAGGGAAAGTGTAACCTGGCTGCAACTATGTGACGTCCTCTGGTGGGGACAAAGGTGGGGCCAGAGGACTGTGCGCACTGGTACATGCA